AACAGTTTATACTCTTGTACTCTTTGGAGTATTGAGGAACAGTTTATACTCTTGTACTCTTTGGAGTATTGAGGAACAGTTTATACTCTTGTACTCTTTGGAGTATTGAGGAACAGTTTATACTCTTGTACTCTTTGGAGTATTGAGGAACAGTTTATACTCTTGTACTCTTTGGAGTATTGAGGAACAGTTTATACTCTTGTACTCTTTGGAGTATTGAGGAACAGTTTATACTCTTGTACTCTTTGGAGTATTGAGGAACAGTTTATACTCTTGTACTCTTTGGAGTATTGAGGAACAGTTTATACTCTTGTACTCTTTGGAGTATTGAGGAACAGTTTATACTCTTGTACTCTTTGGAGTATTGAGGAACAGTTTATACTCTTGTACTCTTTGGAGTATTGAGGAACAGTTTATACTCTTGTACTCTTTGGAGTATTGAGGAACAGTTTATACTCTTGTACTCTTTGGAGTATTGAGGAACAGTTTATACTCTTGTACTCTTTGGAGTATTGAGGAACAGTTTATACTCTTGTACTCTTTGGAGTATTGAGGAACAGTTTATACTCTTGTACTCTTTGGAGTATTGAGGAACAGTTTATACTCTTGTACTCTTTGGAGTATTGAGGAACAGTTTATACTCTTGTACTCTTTGGAGTATTGAGGAACAGTTTATACTCTTGTACTCTTTGGAGTATTGAGGAACAGTTTATACTCTTGTACTCTTTGGAGTATTGAGGAACAGTTTATACTCTTGTACTCTTTGGAGTATTGAGGAACAGTTTATACTCTTGTACTCTTTGGAGTATTGAGGAACAGTTTATACTCTTGTACTCTTTGGAGTATTGAGGAACAGTTTATACTCTTGTACTCTTTGGAGTATTGAGGAACAGTTTATACTCTTGTACTCTTTGGAGTATTGAGGAACAGTTTATACAAGAAACAAGATGACGATATCATGAAGATGGATCTCTCAACACTCAATTCAGTTCAACGACAATACTTTGAAATGCGTCAGGCAGAGATATTGGAGAGGTGGATGTCTAAGGGTTCTTCCTAATTATCATATATTATCTTGTATTAGATTTATGATTGTACTCGCATCGCATCCTAATTAGTTCTTCCTAATTATCTTGTATTAGATTTATGATTCTACTTGAAGTTGAAAATTTTGGCATTTAATGAAAACAACTACTTCATTGAAAAGAAAATGGGCGTAGCACAAAAACTCGAACTTCTTTGCTGAAATTACATTAGACATAAAGAAACTTAATCCTCGTCGATGGTTCCCTTGAGCTGCCACAGATGCTCGATCAAATCATTCTTTAGTGATTTGTGTGTTTGCGTGTTCCTGATTCGATGATGATTTTGGATGAACTCAGTTAGAGGCACCGTCTGCACATGAGAAGGTTCAACGACTGGTATCGAATCATTAAAGTCGAAGTTGTTGTCCAATTGACAATCTCGTTCATCTTCAACGATCATGTTATGCATTATGATGCAAGCTGTCATGATGTCTTTCAGCACACTAGGTTGCCAGAAACGTCCTGGTCCACGAACAATCGCAAATCGAGCTTGCAACACGCCAAAAGCTCGCTCAACATCTTTTCTTGCGCTCTCTTGTTGTTGAGCAAAGTATTTATGCTTGTTTCCTCGCGGTGCTGGAATAGTCTTCACTAATGTGGACCACTCTGGGTAAATCCCGTCGGCGAGATAGTATCCCATATTATACTCGTGGCCATTGACAGTATAGTTGCACGGTGAAGCTCTTCCCTCCGCAAGTTGTGCAAAAACCGGTGAACGGTGTAGCACATTGAGATCATTGTGAGACCCCGGCAGTCCAAAGAATGCATGCCATATCCAAAGATCTTTGCTAGCTACGGCCTCCAAAATAATTATAGGTTCATGAAAATGTCCAGTATACATACCTTGCCAGGCAGTTGGACAGTTCTTCCATGTCCAGTGCATGCAATCGATGCTCCCAAGCATACCAGGAAAACCTCGTTGTGAACCTTCCTCGAGCAGGCGTGCAATGTCTTCATTAGTCGGTGAACGAAGGTATTCCTCCCCAAAGATGTTGATAATCGATCGGACGAACCTCTTCACGCTCTCAAGCGACGTACTTTTACCGATCCGAACGTAGTCGTCAACGGCGTCAGCGGATGCTCCATATGCGAGCATCCGCATAGCTGCAGTAATCTTTTGAAGGCTAGAAAGTCCCAACTGTCCAGCACCATTCCTCTTTTGGGCAAAGTACTTGTCATGTTCGACGACTGCGTCGTGGATTCGAAGGAATAACGAACGCCTCATTCTGAACCTTTGACGAAAATAATAAAGAGGATAGGTTGGTGCGTCAGCAAAATAATCTTGGAATAACCGATTGTGGCCTTCCAGTCGGTTTCGATAGAGCACGATACGTCGTTTGTGTTGAACTGAAGTCAGCAGCTCCCATAAGAAAGAACGTCTTCATCATTTCATCATCGCTAGAGCTAGATGAGCTAGACATTTTGTTCTGGGAGACGATGGGTTGAGGTGAGAAGGCATCGAATTTTATAGGAATCAGTCGGTCAAAGTTTGCGATACCTCGAAGTTCGTGCCCAACCTCGAAGACCGCGAGCTACCTCGAAGACCGGGTGCGTTCCCTCGAAGACCGCGAGTTACCTCGAAGACCGTGTGCGTTCCCTCGAAGACCGCGGGTTACCTCGAAGACCGTGTGCGTTCCCTCAAAAGCCGCGAGGTACCTCGAAGACCGTGTGCGCTCCCTCGAAAGCCGCGAGTTACCTCGAAGACCGTGTGCGCTCCCTCGAAGACCGTATCCAACGGTTAGAAATAAAATACAAGAGGTTTAAATATAATTAAAAGTAATGGGTAAAATATTAAAATAGAAGAGGGGTTTTTTTGATATTGTTGGAGCTCCTAACTAGGAGCTTGTTGGAGCTCCATAAAATAAGGAGATGCTCCCAAGGAGGATTTTTATAATTTTTTATACCAAAATGCTTGAGAGCTCTTGAAAGCTTGCTGACTAGGACTCCCAACTGGGAGCTTGCTGGACTTGCTCTTAGTGTTGGCATCTGTTTGTGGACTCAGGGGGTTGAGGATAAACTGTCCCCTAAATCTCGTAAACTTCAATTCTAGCATCAAAACCCATTTCTTGACTCAGACTTCTTAGTTCAACATTTGAGTTGATCTAGATACTTATCTGTAGCTATTATGTTAGGTTAGGCAAATGAACTGAAATCTGATAAGTAGCAGAAAACAATGAATAATTCTAGCAGTAGATTAACTATTATATATTTGGTAGGCATATTAGTATAGTATCTTGCTTATTTGACTAAATCATATGGTAACCACACAAAGGAGGCGCCACATCAGCATTTACATGTTGGAAAAGGATGATTTAGCTTGATGATGATTTTCTCTGTAACAATCCATTCAACGTTAAATTCAAGGGCACGAAACTTGAAAGTTTTCTCTTTATTACTATTAAAAATTCTGTAACTCAACGATTTATTTTGAAGCTTGAAATCTGATGACGAACTCAATTAATCTATTAAACCGTTAGTCTTATCAGGTGTTGGGTCTGAAGTCAAGTCAAGTCTATTTTGAGAAAAAGTCGATTCCAGCCTTGTAATGTAGCTCTGATGGAGACATTGATCCATTCTATGAAAGCCAAATGGCTCCATTTCAAGTATTAATTCTTACATCCATAATGTATCGGACAAAGATGACAATGACAACATAGCAAGATAAGTGATATTATTTTTTGTTGATACTCACAAAATTGGATAGATCAATGAACATATGTGTACCAAGTCCCTATCCATAATGATGTTGACCACTTGTTCCTTACTCACTCTGTTTGTGCCGACATTTTTGCTGCAAAGAGCAAAGGGATTCGAAAGCTCACTACCGCAGTTAATGGTGAGATTTGTTCCCATTTTTTGAAATTAAAAAAAAAATACAAAGAAGAAAAAAATAAGAAATATAATTAAAAGATAAGTAAATCTTGAAATCAACCAGATTAATTTGCAATGTAAATTATTAAAAACGAACACAAGTATAAAATTTTTTGAATCGAAGGTTACCGCTAAGGTGGAAAAATTTCTCGATGACATCAAGAAACCACCAAAGGTGAAGAAATTTCTTGATGACATCGAGAAAGCACCGAAGGTGGAGGAATCTATTGGTGACATCAAGAAATTGTCTAGAAAACCTAGACCGCGTTAGAGAGGCAAGATTAAAAATCCTAGACCGGAGAGTGTAAAAACCCTAGAGTGGAGAGAGAGTGTGCATACAGAGTACAAAAACCCTAAACTAGATAGAAAGTTCCAATACTTTTTTTACTCCCTCCTCACTCACCACCATTCAATTGATCGAAAAATGTCATTTAGGAGAAATGATCGTGGTGCGGAAGGCTCTCGAATGTTCTATAATTTTTTAATATTGGTCCCAATACTGAGACCCGTGCAAAGCACGGCCCACGCCGTTTATTTGACAATTGTTTTAAATCAGGATGTTAAGTATTCTTAAGCGGCCCAAGCGACGACCTTCAGACCTAATTGTAAAACGAGCTTTAGTTTTAAAGTGTACTTTTATTTGACAACTATCATTGAAATAATTAAAACTAACCACTTGTTAAATTTGTCAATGACAGTGATTAAACAACATGTGTCATTAAAAAAGAAAGGAAAAAATAGTGTCACTAAAAAAACCTCTACAGTAACGCTAATCTTAGGGTCTAATATCAAATCATCAGCTAATTGTATCCATCGCACTAAAAGAGAGAACTTTTTTCCTTTTGTAATGGCAAAAGTCCCTCTAAAGCTCCATCGGAACGATCTCATCTCTTCTAAATACAACAATGTTGAAGTCAAAACTATTCTCATTTTTATTGGACTAGTATAATGCACGTATGCTGTATGTGAATATATTTGTGCCAATTTTCACCCTTCAGGTGCAAAAGAATTCAACGCTAACAAATTATAATAACTGTCTAGCGATTGCTCAATTGTGCCAAATTCCACCCTTCAAGCGCAAAAGAATTCAACAGTAACAAATTATAATAAGTGTCTGGCGATTGCACAACGTTACATGGATGGAAAAAAGAAAAAGAAAAAAACACACTGAATAACACATGCTTCATGTTGGATGACGGCCACAGTTGGCCAGAAATCACTTTCATTGAACATTTTTTGCACACCTACAAATAACCAGTTTCTGCAAAGATTTAACAAAAAAATATCAACAAAAATACAATGTCATTATGATTAAACATCATATCTACATATACATTATGCAATCAAATATTTTGTGTCACAATTTAAACAAAACAATCATCTTTAGTATATAATATAGTTTGCTCGATAGAACTTAAGAGGAATATAGCTCAATGCAGTATTCAGCTTACAAAAACTAAGTAGACCCAAACTAAACAAATATTTTCTAGAGGCTAACTTCATACATACTAGTTTACAGATAATTAAAAGAAATAATTTTAAATATTCATCTCCAAACATCATAGTTGAATGTTGTGCATTCCATATTTCAGGCGTCAAGCGCAATAGTAAAAAGTGGATCATGACGTTAATTAGTAAATAGTGTGCTTATCAACATTATTGAGACTAAAAGATGAAAAAGTAGGTGATAAAAACATGTAACATACACTTTTTGGAAACTAGCATATATGGTGGAAATAAATACCTATCTATAGTTATCTCCATATATATACATATACAAAGCTATTTCCATGATAAACTGCCTCATCAAAGAGGTAATTCTGTGTTGCTTATCCGTACGATTTATCCTACTCTCACATTGATCGACATGGGCTCCTCTCTTTGGTTCCCAATAGAAAATCCAATAATTCCAAATCAAATGAGAGCAATTGCAAATTCCATTTACCCTTCCACGTAAAAATGAAGACCAATTTTTTGTATCTCCCATTCTAATTTCATATTGATGGCTGGGAAATCATCTATTTCCCACTGGACCTGGACATCAAACAGTGAGACTGAGCCATTCATCCACTCCAGTTATCCCAAATTCCCAAATCCATAAAAGCTTACTTAATCCAAATTCTAGCAAAACTTAACCAACTCATAATTTAGTGGAATCGGAGCAGACAGAAAGCTGTGTCATAAATGAAAGTAAAATCTCAAGATGAAACTTTGAACAAATCCCAACAATCCTAGCTGTGACTACCACAACTCTAACCAAGAAATTTTACGTTGAGATTACCAATTTGGTAGAGATGGACGACGGGAGGACGGATCGAGCTGCCTTTCGAGCTCGACGAGATATCTTCCTGAAAACATTCTCAATGAATCTCGCAAGAAGATCCAAGCTCCTATCGTCCTCCTCCTCTTCATCATCCTCATCGTCGTCTTCTTCATTGTTCTCCTTCGCCGAGATCCCCGATCCAAGCGCAAGGATCAGGGACCACCACTACCGTATCCTTTGGCACATAAAAGTGCCCAAAACTGAATGCAAAGTTGAATCAATTTTTGGTTCAAACTAATAAATTGGGTACCTCGGGGTAGTTCGGGGATTTTCTGCAGGCTCGGAGAGGTGACGGGACTCGAGAGGTGACGATAAGACGATGGTGGTGACTGGGACGGAGGCGGAGAGTGGAGGAGAAGGAGAAAGACCTCACCGTAGGGTCCACCTCATATTGGAGCTAGGAGACGGAATTTTCTGTAGGCCTCCTTCGCGGGCCCCACCTCGATCCAATCCACAGACCTCACCGTAGGGTCCACCGCGGGGGCAGCAAACCCCGTCCATGGCCGATCAACTCTCCCGGGACCAAATGGGGACTACTTGGGCTCGCGGAGCCCGATGGGCTTCACATTGGAGCTGCTCTCGGTGTATCTGAAGCGGAAGTCGAAGGGGAGGTCGGAGTGGAGGGGGATCTGACCGGAGCGGTCGAGGGATGAAGGGGACTTGTAAGGGGGTTTCTTGGGTTTCTTCTTCCTTTGATTTGGGGGTTAGGGTTTTGGGGGAGGTGGGAGGGAGGGAGGGGAGACGAAGTTGTAGCGGTCGAGGA